GCCGAGTGCTTAGTATGCTTGCGTTCTGTTTGTGAAGCCCTGCGTTTGATCCCCAGTTTCGTCGATGGATTCGCACTACTCTTTAGACCCAACCATGTCGAACATGCTGTCAAGTGCTTCCTAGAGTGTAATACACTCTCAATTTGCTATGTTCAGAACGAATTCGTCCTTTTAAACAAGGATTGACCGACAATGGTGAATAGTTTCTTAACTAATTTGTAACGAGAGATTGGCTGACCGTGACCGACATTACGGCATTTTGTTAAAAAATATTTTGATGAGCTTATTTGTACTCTAGCTTATCACTTCAGGCTTCCTTAAGTGTATCCAAGCTATCCCCAAACGAATGATCGATTCCGTTCACTGATCAACTGATTCGATGGACCAGGTGCAACAAAGGACATGCCGCTTACCAAATTAGCATGATCCGCTCACTCGATTCATTATGATGCCCAGTTAACCTCGGCTGTGCATAACTGGAATGAGAACATCAATCGTCGGAACAAGGGGAACAACAAACCTATCACAAGCCTAACCAACCGGTGATCAGGCAGTCTCGTATCAGGTTCAAGGAATGGAAGTTTCGCAAGTGGAAGAAAATTATCCAATCATATCGCAAAGAGGACCAAAGTGGAATAGAAGCTCTGTGAGACTGTTCGTTTATGGATGGAAAAATCTGAAACAATGAAATAATGGCATCAACCCGACGGGAATAACTAATCTGATACTGAAAACCAACATGAAAAGAATCACAAAGATCAAACGGCTGTGAAACGAGACGGATTATGCCACCGAGGAGGCTCAAACGCTTGCGGTGTGTATAAGTTGGTTGTGATGGATGATTTGTTTACGTGATCACCCTTCATACCGATCGATAATACACCTCTATTGTAAGACTGAAATCGAACCATCTTTTTGAGTGAGAGAGAGCTGATGACCGAAGATGATTTGGCATGGAAAAATGAAAGTCCGTCATTAAGATACAATGAATGCTCCGGAACAGAGTTCTTCTGTTTGTCATTGTCCTATATATAGCCCCATACTGAGACCCTAGCCTCAGTTATTGCTATTCAATCTCCCCGTTTTAATTTCTTTGCCATGATTGAAAAACTCATCGTGTATGAGTTCATGAAATTCGTACAAGCACGTGTGCATTTCATAGCTCACCGATTGTTGGTTGAAAAAAATTGATTGATATATGTTTAAGAATTACAATGTCCAGTGGTTACTATCCTTCTGGTATCTTTACCATCGTTGTGACTTCTGCTCCTAGGCGTTGTTTGTAGATCTGCAACAACATTGTCCGACTATCTATTTTATAACGTTTGACTTGGAATTCATTTCCTCCTCTACTACATGCAAATTATGCAATTCTTGTGGAATGTGATGAAACTTGCTGTTTACATCCACTCATCTCACAAACATTTGACAACGGTCCGGTTAGGAATAAATTGACAGCTTTTAACCAAATTTCGGGGTACAGAGTGTCGATAGTGAGTTTGGAAACCAAAAGTATTTTGACAGACAAGCCCTGATCGATAAGATTCGGATATTGACATTTTGACAATAATGCGAAAGTAGAATCTATAATGTAAATTAGGTTAGCGTGATCCACAATAGTATTCAGCAAATACTGTGAACAAACCGTATGGTACGCCGGTGTGAACCTTTTGAGCGTGTATAAGTCAATCCTGCTCACGTCGCAATGTGACAGGAAAGGCGCTGCTGATATGGATGAGCAACGTGTCCTATTATCTAACACATCCATTCTCAGTTTTCTGAAGCTAGCTTAAACGTATCGACCAAATTCGGTTATACACAATCCTCAGTTAACTATTGCGGAGACAGTAGAGAAAGTACTACATTAGACGGTTAGCGACCGCGTGAGAATAAATTATCTCACCAATTCTCTTGGGATGCACGAGGGCCGAAAGGAAAACGCTCCACGTTCGACCAAGATGTTATTGATT